CCTCCAGCCACTTAGAAGGGTTTCAGCTGTATCCATCTACAACGATCATTCTCTTTCTAAAAACTTTCTTTTAAACTGCGTGAAAATACTTCTCTCCTCCCTAAAACCGGTACCCGGGTAACTACACTTTTTAATCTTCTAAATCTTTTTACTTCGACAGCTATTTCTTTAATTTTATAAACACTTAATTGAACCCTTATATCGGTGTATTTTCTTTTAAATCTTGTTTTTTTTTAATGACTTTGTTGACCATTGTTTTAAACAGATTTCCATTATAATTTGTTAAACTTATAATAGTATTTTTTAACCTAGCAGTAATATGCAAATTAGCTAAAATTAAAGGATTTTTTTTTTTTAAATTTTTTTTTACTTTATATTTATTTCTAAAATTATATTTAAATTTAGTATTATTCATAGAATGATAATTTTATTTTTTTTTCTTTTTTTGTACCTTAAAAGGACGTTTATTACGTGAAATACGTTTCTGAATAAAAATTTTTTTTATTTTTTTAGAAGTTTTTGCATTTGTATGTGTACGTTGTCCTCTAACGGGTAATCCTTGACTTTGTCTAATTCCACGATTACTTTTAATTTCTACTAATTCATTTAATCTTTCAGTTTTAGCTTTTTTTAAAAGCTGTTCGACTTTTAAATTTTTGTTAATATAATTAACAAGTCGGTTTACGTGGTTGTTTTTAAGTTTATTAAGGGTGATTTGAGGATTAATTCCTATATTTTTACAAATTTTCTTAGATTGAAACTCATTAATACCGTATAATACGGTTAATGAATATAAAATACTTTTTGAATCTGAAATTGTTTTATTAAAAATATATAACAAAACGTCTTCAATTCTGGCATCAGTAGGGGTACACTACCAAATGTCCGCCGTCATCATGCACAGGTAGACTGTGTACATGATGGGATTTGTTTTTGCATGGTGCGGACAACCGTTTTTGTAGTCTGTCGATAGTAGCGTACGCGGCCTTAGGCTCCCGTAAAAGATAGTCGAGCTCCTCTTCAAGGCTACGACTGGTCAAAGCCATGTTATTTATGGTGTCCAGTCGAATGGCTGCAGGGGTGCGAGGAATCTTAAAAGGGCGATCATTGCCATCGGAGTTGGAGTCGTAACCGCGTCGTTTGACAGTCATGGTATTAAAAGGCAATTTGTAAAGTGACAGGTTCGATTAAAGAACTAGAGTGATCAGCAATAGTTATAATAAAAGCACAGTGAGCTATAATCAACGCTCTGTAACAATTAGTAATGCCGACGATTGTGAGTGCTGTAAAGCAATTTCCAGTCAGTTAAGCACGGGATCTGCGTGGAAGGAGCGGCGGCCACATAAGTTAGTCACCAAATTGGTCGTATATTTGGTCGTAAAAAAAAAAGAACCCCGCCACATCAGTCGATGGTGCGGGCGGTTGCGCTCCCCTTTGCAAATGCTCCTCTGGATGTTGGCTCTTCCCAGCCACAGATGATATAAGTTCGTAAATGCAGCGGGGCTGCCGTAGCTTTAGCGTCAGAGGAAGACGTTCGACTCAAAGAGTCACTAATACTAAGTTCCTTATCCAAAGGACACTTACAGCCCAAGACCAGGGCTCAAAGTTAATACCTTAACTTTTATGCTTCAAAACCAGAAGTGATTTATTTACTATTATTGCGGCCAAGCCGCCTAGGGGTAAATGTATCTCTTTAACTATCTAGCATAGTTAAACCTAATCAAATGCATAACGTGTGGCTTTCAGCCAACGTACTGAGAGACCTTGTTAACTCTCCAACTTATGTACTGAGAGTTTGTTAACTCGCCGGGTACTTCGTACCCCTGTGTGTTCCACACCATGTAACCCCGTTACAGTAAAGGTCCCGTTATCTTTCCTGTCGTAAGAGCATCTCCAGCGGTAAGTCCTAACGTGAGTCGTATCGACGCCCCTTCGAGGCCATTGAGACCGCAGTTTTATTTTAAGACTCCGCACCTCTGATTTTGCTGCAACGGGAGGTCTCAAGCAAAGATCTATTTTATTGTTTTGGCGAATCACAACAAGCATTGTAAGCTCCGCCCCCGCCCCCCTCGCCCCTTCCTCTCATGGAGGGCATGGCAAGAGCTAATGTGGATGCGTTTTGTGACGCAACAGGGGATTCTGATGACGAGTTCTTCAGTCTCTTCATATTACCCGAGCTAAATGCACAGCGGAAGAGGAAGCACGGTGGTTCTGAAGTCGGCAGGCGAGCAGGAAAGGAACGCAAAAGAGCACAGCATGGGGAGGAGATGATAGCCGACTACTTCTGCGATAATCCGACCTACGATGCGGGTACGTTGATTTCCTGACTTGTGAATCTGCTATTACAACAGATCCTGACTTTTAAGTGTCACCACGGCATATAGAGGACTTCCGTCGGCGCTTTAGAATGCGTCGAGACCTATTTGAAACCATCGTCTGCGCTCTTGTCGAGGATGAACACTGCAACTATTTCGTGCAGCGGCCTGATGCTACCGGTTTGTTGGGGTTTCTTCCAGAACAAAAGATTACATGTGCATTGCGGATGCTCGCATATGGCGCAAGTGCAGACCAGCTCGATGAGGTCATTCGCATTGGTGAATCAACAGCATTGGAATCTTTAAAAACATTTTGTAGCAGCATTACGCGGCTGTACGGACCTGAGTATCTACGCAAATCAGAAAGCTGCAGCCTCCGATCGCTCGTCTGCACCAGCC